TTGCACGTGTTTTGTATTTTGCACGCGTTTTGGTTTTTGCACGTTTTGGATTTTGCACGTGTTTTGTATTTTGCACGTGTTTTGTATTTTGTACGTGTTTTGTATTTTGCACGTGTTTTGTATTTTGTACGTGTTTTGGAGTTTGCACGTGTTTTGTATTTTGTACGTGTTTTGTATTTTGCACGTGTTTTGGATTTTGTACGTGTTTTGTATTTTGCATGTGTTTTGTATTTTGTACGTGTTTTGTATTTTGCATGTGTTTTGTATTTTGTACGTGTTTTGGAGTTTGCACGTGTTTTGTATTTTGTAAGTGCTTTGGAGTTTGCACGTGTTTTGGAGTTTGCACGTGTTTTGTATTTTGTACGTGTTTTGGAGTTTGCACGTGTTTTGTATTTTGTACGTGTTTTGTATTTTGCACGTGTTTTGGATTTTGTACGTGTTTTGGATTTTGCATGTGTTTTGGATTTTGTACGTGTTTTGGATTTTGCATGTGTTTTGTATTTTGTACGTGTTTTGGAGTTTGCACGTGTTTTGTATTTTGTAAGTGCTTTGGAGTTTGTACGTGTTTTGGATTTTGCATGTGTTTTGGATTTTGTACGTGTTTTGTATTTTGCATGTGTTTTGTATTTTGTACGTGTTTTGGATTTTGCACGTGTTTTGGATTTTGTACGTGTTTTGGATTTTGCATGTGTTTTGGATTTTGCAAGTGTTTTGGATTTTGCAAGTGTTTTGGAGTTTGTACGTGTTTTGTCTCTAGGGGCCACCGTATGTACCTGTTTTGTAGGGATGTAAGAAAATATCGATACAACGAAATATCGCGATATTTCGCGCAATGATACTGAATCGATATTTAAAATCACTGTTATCGATTTTTTTAATTGAAAAATGACATGCATTTACTGTTTATTTCTTTTGTATGTTGGAATTCAAACTCCGGCCACTGGTTTGCAGTTTTCACCGCCTTTACTATGACGTAAAAACGAGGTCTCGCGATAACTGTAGAAGCGTCTAGTTTGCCAAAAGAACGAAGTAGAACAGTCAGTGGACGTGTGTGATGCTAGCTAACTGATGACTGAAGAGGAGAGGATACAGCCGGCCCCCGCAGCTTTCAAAGCTGATGTGTGGACTTATTTTGGATTTAGGACAAAAGAAGGCAGTAAAGACTATGACAAGAGCTATGCAGTCTGTAAAATCTGCACCGCCAGAGTCAAATATTCCGGTAACACAACAAATTTACGAACACACGTGTCTAGACACCATAGCGACGTAGCGTCAAATGCTAATTTTAAAACAAAACGAGGTGATTCCTCTCAACGGACAATTGAAGAAGTTAACTTTTCGAAACTACCTGCAACTTCAACTCGTGCAACAAAAATAACGCAGTCAGTACTTGTTTTTATTTGCAAAGACATGCTGAGTGTTGTGGAGAATAAAGGATTTCGTAATATGATTAAAACGCTGGAGCCCCGTTACACCGTTCCTTCTCGACAACACATCACGGACATCGCTCTGCCAAAGTTGTACCAAGAAGTCAAAGCGACAGTGCTGGACTCTCTCAACTCGGCTGAGACAGTTGCTCTGACATGCGACGCTTGGACTTCGAGAGCCACTGAATCGTACGTAACTGTTACAGCACATCACATAACAGACCAGTGGAACCTTCAGTCTCATGTACTACAAACCCGAGCCATGCATGACAGTCACACAGGTGAGCACATTGCAGCGTTACTAACTGACGCTGTGGCTGAATGGGGATTGAACGCAAAGGACCTTGTTGTTGTTACCGATAATGCACCAAACATGGTTCTCGCGGCTAGACTTGCAGGCATGACGCACATACAATGTTTTGCACACAGTCTGAATCTCGCCTCACAGAAAGCACTGAAAATACAATCCGTGGTGCGACTTCTCGGGAGGATCTGACGTGTAACAGCCTTTTTCAGGCGCAGCACCACAGCCAGCAACCAGTTGAAGCAGAAACAGTGCCTCCTTCAGCTACCAGCTCACAGATTGATCACGGACATAATTACAAGATGGAACAGCTCCTATGATATGATAGAATGATTTTTAGAACAGCAACCAGCCATCTGTGCAGCTCTGCTTTCTGCAGAAGTTAGGAAGAGTGAAAAAGAAATTTTCACATTAAGTGAGTCTGACATCACATGTGCAGAAGAAGTTGTCAGGGCACTCAAGCCTATGAAGGACGCCACCCTGGTGATGTCAGAGGAGAGTATGCCAACCCTGTCCATCATTGCTCCTCTTCATGCCAAGCTTGTGATGGGTGCACAAGAAAGTGTTGATGATACACCGACAGTAAGGGACATTAAGACTGCCATAGCAGAAGATCTGGGAAAGAGATATGTAAATGAGAGGGAGACACTATGGATGGCATCAACTGTTGATCCTCGGTTTAAGGACCTGCCCTTCCTGTCTGAAGCAGAGACCAGTGAGACCTATTCCAGAATGTTGGACACTGTGGTGACTGTGATAAAGAAGGAAGAAAATGTAAGTAAATAAATTAGTTTATTTGGAAAAATTCAACTGAAGTTATAAGCAAGTGAATAGAGTAAAAAGCAAAAAAAAAAAAAAAAGCATATTGATGACATTTGTCATCAAATATTAGTGAAAAACAGGGTGAATCTTGGGTTTGAATTTTGACTTTCTGACATTAATACTATTTGAATTTAATGTTTTTCAGCAGCAAAAGAATGAGGAGACTGACAAACAGGTGGAGGAAGAGAATGCCACAGAGGAGGCTCATCACCCACATATCAAAGACAAGTTTGACTCCATAGAAGACCCTCGGCCACCCCTAAAAAGACAGAGGACCTCATGTGCATTGGTGGACTTGCTCGGAGCTACGTTTGCCTCTACTAGTGACAATACTGCACCAAAATCAGAACATGATGTTGCTGCAGCTGAGATCAAGAGGTATAGAGATGAGACCCCTTTGCCTCTCACAGGAAATCCTCTCAGTTGGTGGAAGGACCATGAACAGGAATACCCTCAGCTATCCAAAGTAGCAAGGAGTTTCCTATGCATTCCTGGAACAAGTGTCTCTGCAGAGAGAGTTTTCTCCTCTGCAGGAGACATAGTAAATGCACAGAGAAGTGTCCTGAGAGCTGACCATGTTGATCAGCTTGTATTCCTGCACAAAAATCTGGAAATTGAAAAATAAACACTGAGAAAACACTACACATGTAAAATCTCTGATATGAGAATGTTTGACATTTTGGTTGAGTCTCATAAGCACTTATTTAGATGAGTAAATTCCTTTTTTCAGGTTGTACTAAAAGTGTTCCATTGATGGACACTGCAGAGCTGTACTTTATTTTATTAACACTTAATTGTAATAGCACTTTCCATTTTTTGTTAATGTTTACTTGGATGGATTCTTCAAGCAATTTCATTTTTGATTTATATTTGTTTATGTTAAGGTCACATAAAAAGTGCTTTGTTTTGATGCTCCATAGAGCAGTTTTTGGATAAGTATTTTACAATCATAGTACTTAGAAAGACTTCAGTGTTACATGTTTACTTTTTTCATGTTAAAAAATACTTGATATTTCAGTAAAGTAGTTTTTGTTTGTTTATTTGACATGACTTCTAATAAGGCAGATGTTAATTTCTCCATTCATTTTGAACTTAGAGTGTTTTTGTTTCAGATGTTTCATGTCAAGCATTAAACAGTTTGGACTGTTTACTTGAGTTTTCCTAATTAAATTTAGTCCTACTAAACACAAATATCGTCTGGCTTTTAGTATTGCAATATATCGTATCGTCTACCCTGTATTATGATACATATTGTATCGCCAGATTCTTGCCAATACACACCCCTACTGTTTTGTATTTTGCACGTGTTTTGGATTTTGCATGTGTTTTGTATTTTGTACCTGTCTTGGTGTTTGCACGTGTTTTGTATTTTGCGTGTGTTTTGGATTTTGTACCTGTTTTGGATTTTGTACCTGTCTCGGTGTTTGCACGTGTCTTGGATTTTGTACGTGTTTTGGATTTTGTACGTGTTTTGGATTTTGTATGTGTTTTGGAGTTTGTACGTGTTTTGGAGTTTGCATGTGTTTTGGATTTTGTACGTGTTGAGGAGTTTGTGCATGCTATTTGGAATTTGTAAGTGTTTTGGAGTTTATACATGCTTTGTCTCTAGGGGCCACCGTACTTTTCTACTCTAACTCAAGGTATTTTTGGTAAGAGTCAAATTTCCTCTCTCACACAGTGGTGTACTCTGTTCCATAAAAACATTAAATAAAACATTAAATTAATGTAGTAAATTTTGTAAGTTTAAGTTTCATGAAGGAGGATAACTCAGGATGTGCTAAAAGGCAACCAAGCAATGCAAGGCTTGCTTGTTGTTTTGGGCACCAGGCCAGTAGTGAAAGGTTGCAGTGATAGTCTGAGATTCCTAACCTCCCTGAGGGGGCACACCTGAGTTCCCTTACTCCCACTGTAAGTGGCAATAACAATTCTGTTTAAACAAACCTTATGAAAGCAATGACAGTCACTAAGTGAAAATGAAAAGAAGTTATTGTTTTGAAAGTGAAAAACAAAGAAGAAAAAGAGAGAGTGGAGAAATCTAGCACCTAAATGCTGCCTAAATCTTATCTAACCAGCTGTGCCGTAACAGAGAGTTACATTCACAAACTGGTTTTTTTTGTTTTGTTTTTTTCTTTTTTTTTTTTTTAGAATATTTATAAAGTAATGGCAGTAAAGGCTGGATGAAGGGGCCCCCTGGGAATTTTTGCCCTGGCAGTTTTTAGAATTATCACCACCCCTGCCATGTTATTGGTCCCTTCAGTGGAAAAAGAAATCCTGCAAAAGCCCCTGGCTTTAAATTTTGTTGGAATCTGGTCACCTTAATGTGAATACTTTTTCCCAGTTATATATCAGCTATATCACCTTTAAGATGTGTATTTTCCTACTTCCATCTACTTTTACTGTGCATTGAGCCTCCATAATGTTCCCATTTCCGACAGCACCGGAAGACCACTTCACTCCCTCCCCCTCTCGGCTTGTTCTAGCAGCAGTCCCGCAGAGCAGAAGTATCAGCATGGCGCTCGGTGAGGCTGGAGTTCCGTTGTCTCTCTTGTATTGTGTTTCTCATGTCAGGTTTTACTCCACTATCTGATAGAGGTCTGCGATTCCTGCGCGGTGTGCGCCTCTAAACAAAACCTGTCTGGGTAAAAACGGCAGCATTTTCCTGCTGGATACTCACAGAGAAGTGGTTTGTAGATATCTGAGAAGGCTTGCTAACTAGCAAGGAGGCAAAAAAAAAAAAATTACGGGAGATACAGAGCAACAAGAGGAGGAGTCCTGTTCTGGAAGAGGTAAGCTGAATTACATAATAATAGTAGTTGAAGTACTTAGGAGTGTATAAATATATTTGTTTGTGCCTTAAAGTTGTTAAAACTCTTTATTTTCCAAGTGCGCAAACTTAACTGTTTGTTGGGTATTTTTTAAAGGGGGACGACGTTAAAGCAGCCTCCTTGTTGTGAAGCGATACTTGCTAACAAACTTAGTTTAATTTGCTTTCTTGTAGTTCAGTTCGAGAATAATCCACCTCAAAAGAAAGTAGCATAAGAATAATCAGTTACTGTTTAGCGTCGTTATGTAATGTTTTCGTTTTTTGTTACAATGTTGCGGTATAAGCGTAAGATTTTGTCATTTTAAAAAAAGAAAAAAAAAGAGGATTAATAATTAGTTTGTTGTGTTATTAGGATTTGTTTGTTTTTTTTAACCAGGTTTACTTAGTCTTGTGAATCCTCCTGCATGACTCCGTTCTTTAAACACAAATCACTGCACTTCAGTGCTTCACCGCTGCTGCAGGTTTCTTTTTTGTGTCTGACTCGGCGGTGTTAACCGTACAGTCAGTTTAAAGGGTCCGATGATCCAAGATCACAGTTGCCAGGTGTAATTATCCGCTGTCGAGTAAATGAGATTAACTTGGCCTCCTGTCCCCCGCTAGGTAATCTAATGATAGACCTTAAAACTGTTCTTTTTTCCTTTTAATGTTTTTGCGAGATTTAGCAACAATTCTCTTATGCATGTTAGGTTTTAGTGCGGCAATTCATTCTGCATTACAGTGCGGATATAAAACAAAACGAAGAAACCCCATTTTAAAAACAGTAGGGTGTAGATCTCTTATAGAAAGACACATGCAGCAGTGTCTCCATGCCTTGGATTGGTACTAAATCTTAGACTTTATAAGCCCACCATGATTTCATTTTCAGAGGCACTAAGCTCGCCGATAAATTTATGCATGAGGTTTCTTAAAACTGCTTTAAAAGTATTGACTCCTGGAGCCACAAACATTTCTGTTGCTCTGAAAAAATCGAGGTCTCCTCCGTAATAATCTCATTATAAACCATTTGAAGTCTCCGTAGGCTTGTTTTTCGATACTTTGCCTTCAAGTGTGCAGTAAACAGAAGTGTTTAGTATGCTCTAAATGGAGACATCTTCATCCTTACATGCAGTAACCTTGGTAAACTTGCATTGCGTATAAATAGCCTTTAAAATAGGTCGTTTGATTTGCAGTTGCTATTAGAGACACTAAGGTTCTTATCAGAAGAAACGGGAATTTGATACAGTTGTCCTCTTTGGCTTTACTAAGAACGCTGTTATGGACGTGATATAATTCTCAATATAAGAGACATGATCTGCTGGAGACCAGTCCTGTAAGATGGATGGCATTTTATTGGAATCAGTGCTGTTATCCATTCTTCCTATTGATCCTTATTGATCCATGATCAGTTTTCTGTGTGCAGAAACAAAGTAAGCTTACACAAATTTCCAGCTGCTTTATCTTTTCCAAATCTGAACACATTGTTTATAGAAAGTAGAAAAAGGACTTGAAATTCTCAGGTGTGCAGAAGCTCTGCTGCCCTGAGTTTGACTTCACTGCTCTGCAGTGTGCAGCTGTCAGAAGTGATTAGCTTGGATGAATGCAATACCAGTGGACTGGACTTTTTTGGAACTGGTTTTGGTTCGTCATGGCTTGATGCTCAAATTATGAAGCAACACAATACAGCTTCAGCCATATGTAAGCATGTAAGGAGTTTCCAAAACCACAGTTCAGTTCATAGTAGGAGTTTGCATTCCCAGTAAAAAGTACTTTGAATCAATATTCACTGAGAACTACGTGACAAACTTTGTGGATGTTTGTGTTAAAATTTAAGTCATTATCTCGTAATTGTTAGAGTTGTTACAGCCATCTGCGATGTCTGTTAAATATGTATGCCATGACCTATTTCTTGTGTATACAGTTGATAAATATGAATGTCTTGACCTTTTTCTTTTTTCTTTTTTTATTATTATTGTTTTGTTTTTTTTACAGCTGATGCAGGTGCCATGGCAATAGCCGAGGCATGGGAGTGACGTGACAGTACTTGATGTGCTTCCAAACAAAAACCTTATCAGCATCATGTTTTTCTGCTGAATTAGAGGCAGAACACACAGAGAATGGACGAGTCCGTGTTGTTGGATTTGCTCGAGTGCCCCGTTTGTCTCGAGCGGCTAGATGCCTCGGCAAAGGTTCTTCCTTGTCAGCACACCTTCTGCCGGCGTTGCCTCCAAGGTATCCTTGGCTCACGCGGGGAGTTGCGCTGCCCAGAGTGCCGGACGTTGGTGGATTGTGCCGTGGATGAACTTCCCAGCAACATCCTACTTGTGCGGCTCTTGGATGGAATCAAGCAGAGGCCACGGAGGGTTGGTCCTGGGGCGGCAGTCTGCACAAATGGTACATCTGGAGCCATGGCCAGGGCACATGGAAGTGGATCTCGGGACCAGGGCACCCCGGGAGCACAACCCCAGCGAGCTCAGGCTAAGAGCACCCTCGTCCGGGTTAGTATATTAACTACCTGAGCATGGCTCAGTGAGTACACATCTGTTTCCCCCATTGTTATGGTCAAGCTGAAACAAAACAGAGAAAATCTGTGTGGATTAAAAACAGCATGTTGCATTACTAGCTCTCTAATCCTTGCTGCGGATTAACGGTTATCATGGTGACCCCAAAGCCAGCCAGTTGACTAGCAGCCCAACATTACTGAAGGCAGTGATTGAGAGCAGTTAATAGTTAAGCCACCAAATGATCCTGCACTCTATGCCAGCAGTAGATGGACTTACTCCCGTAAGAAGAGCTCGCAGGCCTTTCTTAGTTGCTGACATTGTCATATGCCACAGACAGCCTTCCTCTTGCGATCCCTGCTGCAGTGTTGCTTGTGAAATTCAGGGTGGATCTACAGGGTGGTTGTTTTATCTGCAACACTGAGGGGACTTGTAAAGTGTATTTAGAGCAGAAAGAAAATTGTGAAAGACTTGGAGTCTGTGTTTCAGTAGTTTTATTTAGATACCACTGATGAGACACAGATGACGGTGAAAGAGTGAAAACAACACACAACATTTGTTTCTCAATCTCTAAGCCTAAGAAAACACGAGTTTGATGATGGTTTAATCTTTAAGGGCAAAATAAGCTGTTCAACCTAAGATGGCATGTGCTGTTGTGTCATGCCATATTCAGTGTTTGACATGCAGATTCCCAGACATGGATTATACCTAATCCTAGACTAAATTCTTTACTCTATGGGGATCTTCATTGAATTTTTCCTTTTAGTCTAGGACTAGGATTATCTATGACGAGGAAACTTGCTCATAGACTTTATTTGGGTGGGCTGCCCAGGTCTATGGATGGCTATCCAAGTATATTTTAAAATAAATTTTATTTATTTGACTGCCCCAGACAGCAGTGCAATCAGTTTACTCTCAGACAATCCCCTCACCCTCATTTTGGCGGTGCAGTCTGGTTGCTGTTGTGAAGTCCTCGATGTCATTCACCAGTCAGCAAAACGTTCTGCCTACAGTTGAGCAGACTTTGACCACCACCTTCTTAAACTACATTTGATGACTACAGACTGTTTATTTTAAAGCAAGTGCACATTTAACTCATTTCAGTTCCGATACAATGCTGAGGTATCTGCATCAGGTAATGATCAGATACCTGTGTTAATTTAATCAGCTAATCAGCTCCCTGTAGGGGAGCATTAGCTTGACTTACACGTTACTTTGTAATAACCTTGTAAAAGTATTGGTGTTGATTAGTAAAATGATAAATGAGAACAGGACCAAGATAAATAATTTTTTTATAAATATGGTCACGTTATTGATTTAATTTATTTTCACTGGTCACATTTAAGGTTGGTGTTAAGAGTCATTAAGCTGCTTCATACTGCTGTCATTCATAGTTGTGCTAGTTTCTGCTTTACTCCCTCTCAGTCTAAGTGGTCATCCTTGCTGCTCCTCACACACAAACACACATCATCTGTGGAGCAGAGCTGTCAAAAGACAGGTGAAATTAAATGACAGTGTTGACAACAGTGTATTATGTCATTGTAAGTTCAGCAAAAGCTTCCCAGCAAGAGTTACACTAAACCTATAGAGAGCGAGAAAGAGCTGACAGAAAGTCTGTCGGTGTAAGAATATATACTGGAATATACTTCCAACCTTTTTATCCTTTGTTGTAAACTTCCTGCACGCTGTAATGCCTCTGCTTCTGCTGACTCAAAGTGTCATAAAAAACAGATCTGGTGTGTTGTCACTGATATGCAATATCAGATCAGCACATCCCTATTCACTGTCACAGTGGGCACATGGTATTTATTTATCAATTAACGTAAAACAGCATAACTGTACCTCCTTAACATGGTTGTGCAGCCCTTTCCTTCACACTAGCACTCGTAGAATCCAGCGGGAAATTAAAAAAATGCAATTTTTCTTCATAATGTGTTGTGATTTATGCTATTTATGCTTTTCTCCAAGCTGCCCAGGCCTATTTACTATAAAATGACATGTGATGTGTGTTTTAAAATATGTTTTAATTAACAAATTCTCTTTAGATTCTACATACACCCTTCTAAATACACCCATGACAGACCCGTGGGCCTTTCTTTGAACAGCTCTGGTCTCCACGAAGGGAGGATTGGGTAGATGAAAAGATGTCAGGGTCTTGTGTAGAATCACTGGAATGTCAAAGCTCTGATAATGTAGCTGCCGAGCCATGCAGGTATGAAGATCAGAGGCCTTGCTGTAAATTGCTGCTGGGGGACCCGCCTCATTTGCCAAAGTATCACTTCAGAGCTTTTGTGCTCATTTCAAAGCTGTTTGTGCTTTTTGGAATTTCCCCTCAGTGCTGAAAAGCCTGTTTGTTACAAAAAAAAGGGGGAGAGCGAGAGATGGTCATTCGAAACTAATACACTGATTCCCCTTTGAGGGTATGCTGCCCATGTCATCTATGAATACGGTTTTCTATTTTCTGAGCACTTATATAGATTTTTCACAGTGTCATACTATTGACTAATGACCTCTCTCAAGTCTGCTCTCCTAAGGCTCTGTGCTGATAACCGAGAACAAGAAAAGACATGGCAGTGCAGGTGTAACATTTTCACAACATAAAAGCCAGAGATCAAAGCTCTCACTGATCTCTGGCCGGTGCTCCTTGGGGACTGAGCTGCCTCACTGCCCCCGGGTGACACTCTCAGTCCCACTTCTTTTTTCTTCTTTTTTTTTTTTTTGTTCCCCTGGATTTTTTTGGGGGGGGGATCTTTCAAGGCTTGATGCGGCTCTTGTGCCATTCCTCTGTTGAGGGAGAGCTCCACCTCCAATTCTTATATGGCCAGAGAATGGCTCTGATTGGGGACTGCCTGACAGATGCACAACAGGGTTTTGTTTCGGGTCGCGTCTGATCCTAGTGACTGACCGACACATGTAGAGAGTGAGTGTGTGTGTGTGTGTGTGTGTGTGTGTGTGTACACGCGCGCATGAACGGAAAGGCCACCAGTAACAGAAACTGATGAGTGTTAAGTGAAGGCGTTAGGACCAAATGGGACAAATGTTTCGGCTTTCTGCCCCTCCTCTTATCATCTCCGGGGTTGCAGCAGTTGTTTGACACAGCAGCCTGGCATTTCTTTGATGAGAGGATTGAAAAGGCTCATCTTGAATGTAGCTCTGTGGTTGTCTGGGCCCTCGCAGTCAGGTTGATGACTCACCTCCGTGGTGCTCCGTTACATGAGTGTTTTGTCTGCCTTTCTCGCTCGTTGACTCGTATAACATAGTATTTTGTTCATGCGGATTGAGAACAAATAACTCCTATGTTTTATTTTTGTTTTGTTTTATGCATGAGAGCGAGTAAAGCTATTGGATCTGTCTGGAAGTCAAAGGTCAGGGTTCAGGTGTCATAGCAGTTGGGTCAGAGCAAAGGAAGGAGAGAGGGGAAGAATCGGAGAGAGTTTTTAGTGAATATCTTCAGCTATCATTGTCTCTCTCTGGAGAGTTGAGCCTGCACTGAGAGTATAAAAATAGACTGTCTTTCATGATAATTTCTGCCTTTGTCATAAAACTGTCAGAGTTAATTTTTAATTCAATTCTCCACTCTGCATTAACTACAGTTTGGAGGCTACATTTAGGAGGAAAATACATACAAATGATGCTTGTATCTTTTGTACGCTATGAAGGATTTGAGTGTTTTTCTTTACGAGTGTGTGCGTGTCATTATGTGATTAGCTGATGTGAAGTGAAACAATATACTTTCCTGACCTTTTTGGGATGTAATTAGGTCGTTGTCTCTTCTTTGGTAATGAGGGCTGCCTTTTTCTTTTTATAGGCCTGGTGTGTTTGATAGCCTTTTCTTCCTGGCATTATCTCACATTGTCCTCAAGGATTAATTCTAAACACACAGGAAGCAAAGCGCAGCCTTCTAATTTAGTATTATTTTCAGCTGATTGAAGGAAGTTGTCTAATATCTAGGTACCCACAGGACATTGGAAAGCGTTTTTGTTCCTCAGTTATTTTTGTAATAAAGTTGTGGCGTGTTCTGTCTCTTTTGTAGTGGATTTATTTCTTCAGAGAAAAAGAATGCTGTTTATGGGTTCCTTATGTAGAGAGATGTCATTAAAATTCCTGTGCACCTCCCTCGTCTGAGGTCGATGAGTCACGCTGGCGGTCTTTGATGACATCATATAGTTGTTGAGGCCTTTCCTCTTGGCCGGCTGGCTGACCTCTGCCTGCGCGGCTGAACCCCTTCATTACACCCTCACGCTGCCCACATACTGCAAACACATACTTACTGCTTTCCACTGGGAATTTTTCAAGAGGGCTTTGGTCTGTTCATTCCAGCTCTCTCAACACGCTCACACTTTTCTCTCGCCTCCTCTATATTTCCCACGCAGGTCTGCAAGTAGTTGCAACCTTCTGGACAGTGCATGCCGGGATTTTAGAGCCACCTGTAATTTTCTCTTATGAGCCACTGACACCAGCTGAGTTTTATTTTCTTTTTTGCTATATTTCTTCCATGTACCTCCTCCTCCCTCCTCACTGTCTAAATCTGTGCTGAAGCCTGTTAAAGGACTAATGAGATTAGAGTTTATTAGACACTGAGTCGGCTCTGCTCCCCATTCTTTTACTCCCTGTCTCAAAGTGCTTTCTCAAAGGGAATTTTTGGGTCTATTTATGATGTTTTAAGGTCTTGACCTTCCTATGTAAAGTGCTCTGTTAGGACTTTGGGATTTGGCGTTATATAAATTGAATTGAATTACTTTTGACTGCTGACTTTCATTCCTAGGAAACAAACAGTTGCTATCTAGTGAAGTAATCAGCGTGTCTTCATCTCTGGTTCCCACTGTGTATCTTTTAATACTCATCTAATGCACTTCATATTTTTTATAGTTTTTATACTTGTCCTTTTTTTGACTTTTGCACTGCTACAAAGATGGATGCTCATATTAAACATGAGCTTCGTGTTTGTTCAGGATTCAGCTTGCTCTCAGTGTTCAGTTTATTATAGTTTTTATGAC